AAACATGACACACAGATTTCTGGCTTGTATGTTGCTGATGATCTCTGAAGTAATGAATCCTGAGAGTGGGAGAAGACCAGGTTTTTAGGCGTAGTGGGAAGATTTCAACCTCAGTTTTGGACATTACAAGTTTTATATGAGAACCTTTGAGACATTCAGAGCTGTGGAGAAGATAAGGGAAGTTGAAGGAAACAACATCACAGGCCCACTTTAGGAGAGTAGGAAAAGATGGCTGATTTAAAATAGTGTAAGAAAAAGCTTTCCTGTGTCCAAATAACAATTAGAAAATGCAATGAAAGAAACACTCCATTCACAATAGTGACAGAAAACAAAACACTCAAGAGTGCACCCAATGAGAGATGTGGAAAACTTTTATGAAATACTTTAAAAGGTCATGTAAGAGCATTAAAGAAGAATTTAATGAATGAATAAATATACTACATTCAAAAATGGGAATACTCGATATTGTAAGGCAGTAAATTCCTCTCACATTTATTTATAAAGTAATCTTTTTAACTTGCTCAAAATGATTCTAAAGTTCAGTGGGGAAAATAAGCATGAGGCTAGCCAAGAAAATGCTAAACAAAGAGTAACGATGAGGTTTTAATGGCATGTATTTTCTATTTACACATTTCCAGGTTTTCATTTTTTACAAGTATTTATTTTTTAATAAAACAAGAAATAAAACGCCATAAGAAGCTGTGATAAATTATGATCTATCCACAAAAAAGACTGAAGAACGTTTGTGTGTGTGTGTGTGGTGTATTTACATTGGAAAGGAAGGGTATAAAAATTACAATGAATAGGAAATATCACTATCAACTATACAGAAATAAAAAGGATTATCAGGGAATGCTATAAACAACTGTATGCCAACAAATTGATAACTGAGATGAAATCGATAGATTTCTAAAAAGACAAACTACCAAAGTTGATTCCAGAAGAAATGGAAAATCTGAATAGACCAAAACTAAAGAGATTGGATTAGTAATTGAAAAATACTTCCTACAAAAAGACAAGACGGCCTGGATGGCTCACTGGTGAATTCTACTAAATATTAAAGAAGAATGGATAGCAATTGTTCACAAACTCTTCCAAAGAAAAAAGAACAAGAGAGAATACTTTCCAACTCATTGTATGAGGTCCGTATCACCCTGATACCAAAAAAAGAAAAAACTACAGACTTATCTATACCCCTTATGACTATAGACCAAAAAACAAAATTCCTTGACAAAATATTAAAAAACCGAATACAGCAGCACATTAGGGATTATGCACCATAACCAAGAGGAATTTATATCAGAATGCAGGTTGGTTTAACATCTGAAAATAGATTAATGTACCATCAATAGATAAAGGACAGGTGCCAAATTATCATCTCAATAGCTACAGAAAGAACATTTGATAAAAGCTAACACATCTTTATGATAAAAACAACAAACTAAGAACAGGAAAAACTCTCCCCACCTAATAAAGGGCATCTGTGAAAAAACCCACAGCTGACATACTCAATGGCTGAAAGATCCATACTCTGCCCCTAAGGACAGAAACGAGACAAGGATGCCCACCCTTTTTATTCAGTATTGTATTAGAAGTACTGGACAGTCAGGCAAGGAAAAGAAAGGCATCTCGATTGAAAAGGAAAAAGGAAAACTGTCTCTGTTTGTAGATGATGTGATCTTATATATACAAAATTCAAAAGAACACAAAAAGTTGTTAGAGCTAATGAATGAGTTGAACAAAGTTGCAATATATAAGTTGAATATACAAAAATCAGTTGTATTTCTGTATACCGGAAATGAACAATCTGAAAATGAATTAAGAAAACCATTTCATTTGTAATAACATCAAAAAGAATAAAATACTTAGGAATAAATTTAATAAAAGATATAAAACTTACTCTGAAAATTACAAAACAAAATCAAAATTAAAGAAGACCTAAATAAATGGGAGGCCATCTCATGTTCATGGATTAGAAAATTTAATGTTAAGACAACAGTACTCCACAAATTCATCTACAGATTCTGTGAAATCCCTAACAAAATCCAGGCTGGCTTTTATGGAGAAACTGACAAGCTGATCCTAAAATTCATATGCCAATTTAACATGCAGAATAGCCAAAACAGTCTTGAAAAAGAACAAAGTTGAAGGCGTCATGCTTCCTAATTTCAAAACTTACTACAAAGCTATGGTAATTACTGTGTTCTGAATATTTGTGTCCCCCCCAAATTCATATGTTGAAATCCTGCCCCGCAAAGGTGATGGTATTAGTAGGTGAGAACTTTGGGAGGTACTAAAGTCATGTGGGTAGAACCCTAAGGAGTGGTATTAGTGCCTTATAAAGAGACTCCAGAGAACTCCCTGGCCTCTTCTGTCATGTGAGGATACAGTGAGAAGTCTGCAGCCTGGAAGAGAGCCCTCACTCAACCATGCTGGCACCCCGATCTTGGTCTTCCAGCCTCCAGAACTGTGATAAATGTTACCTATAAGCTACCTAGTCTGTAGTATTTTGTTATAGCAGCCTGAGCAAACTAAGACAGTAATCAAAATAGGGTGATCATGGCACAGGGAGAGACATGTAAATCAGTGGAATAGAATTGAGAGTCAACAAATAAGCTCTCACATTTACAGTGAATTGTTTTTCAACAAGAGTGTTGAGACTAGTCAACGGGAAGACTAGTCTTTTCAACAAATGGTGCTTGAACAACTGTATCCACCTGCAAAAGAATGAAGTTGGACCCCTTGAACATCACACATGAAATGAACTCAAAATAGATTATGGACCTAAATGTCTGTTTAAGAGTAATGTAAGAGTAATTTAAGAGTACTTAGAGCAAATAAAAGTATAAAACTCTTAGAAGAAATATAGGACTAAATCTTTAAGACCTTTGGTAGCAAAGCCTTCTTGGAGATGACAGCAAAGCTCAAGCAACTAAAGAAGATTAGATAAATTAGGCTTCACCAAAATTAAAAACTTTGATGCTTTGAAGAGCACCATCAAAAAGTGAAAAGACAACCCACAGAATGAGAGAATATTTGCAAATCTGATAAGTATATTTTATCTTTAGATAAAAAGGCAAATACCCAATTAAAAATGGGCAAAAAAATAAATAGAAATTTCTCCAAAAAATATACCAATAGCTAATAAGCACATGAAAAGATGCTCAAAATCATTAGTCATCAGAGAAATGTAAATTAAAACCACAGAGATATGAACCACAGAGATGGACAATAACAAGCATTAGTTGCGGATGCAAAGAAATCAGAATACTCATGCGCTGCTGCTGGGGATATAAAACTGTGCAGATGTGGGAAACAGTCTGGCAGTTCCTCCAAATGTTAAACATGGAACTCAGCAACTCTACTCACAGGTTTACAAGAAAAATGTATGTCTACGCAGCAACTTGCATAGCATTATTCACAATAGCCAAAAGGTAGAAGCAACCCAGATGTCTAGCTACTGATAAATCAGTAAAGAAAATGTGGTATATTCATACAATGGATTATTACTCGGTTATGAAAATGTACTCATGGAATGGACTTATGCTACAACATGAACTTTATGCTAAACATTATGCTAAGTGAAAGAATGTCACAAAATACCACATGTTATATGATTCCATTTATGTGAAATGTCCAGAATAGGCAAATTCACAGAAACATAAAGTAGATTAGTGCTTGCTTAGGACTGGCAGGGTTTGAGGTTAAATAAAGAGCTAACAGGTGTGGGATTTCTTTGAGAGATGACGAAAATGTTCTAGAATTGATTGTGGTGACGGTTGTACAACCCTTGAGTATACTAAAAACCACTGAATTATACATATTAAATGGATGAATTATATAGTATATGAATTGCATCCTGATAAAAATGTTACATAAAAAGTATGCTAAGTGAAAAATTTGCAGAATATATATTATATGAATATAGTTTTGCAAATAATAGAAGTTTATAACAAACACTGTATTTTTAAAAATTAACAAAATTTGTGAAGCCGTATAAAAGAGGCATTGGTGTATCTTCCCTTGATGTAGTAGCTTTAATCATGTAAAAGATCTGGTGATAAAATTTCTTAACTCTAATTGATACCACCTCATTAATAAAATAATAACAATAGCGTTTATTATATTTGCTCTATATGCTAACATTGTGCATATACGTACATTTTGTCATTTGCTTTAACGTACATTTTGTCATTTGCTTTTCATGATGCCTAATGATGGTCACATATTTTCTATCATGTCCCTTTGCTTTCTATTCTCCAACATACCAAAGTTTACAAAATTGTATTAGTTATCAGAATATCAGAAAGGCACAATTCCTTTTGTTGTCGTTAGCAGTAGATAAAAAGGTAAATACTTTAGGTCTTAGTTTGAATTGGTGTTTATGCAATCCTAAGCAGTTATAAGAGCATATTGATAAACCTATGTGAATGTGTTTAAGTAAGATTTTAAGTTTAAAGCATTTTGTATTTGTTATAGTTGATTCCTAATTGGAAGAGAAAACACTTTTTAGGTACTTGTCAGTTTTGTATTTAATGTAGTACTAAACTTGATAGGCAATCGTTGGCAAAGATCATTCTTAGAATTTTTTTTCCATTGTAAATATAAACTAGTGTCTCAGTCATTTTGGTCTGCTATAACAAAATACAATGAACTTGATGGCTTAAACATTTATTTCTCACAGTTCTGGAAACTGGAAAAGCCTAAGATCAAGGTGCTGGCAGATTCATTCCTTGGTGAGGGGCTTCTTCCTGGCTTGTAGACAGCAAGCTCTGGGGTCTCTTCTTATAAGTACACTGATCCCATCGTGAGAGCCCCACCATCACGACTTCATCTAAATCTAAGCACTTCCCAAAGGCCCCATCTCCAAAAGCCACATTGGGGTTAGGACTTCGACATATGAATTTGGGAGCAGGGGGACACAATCAGTCCCTAGCTACTAGCTTTGGTGAAAATCTTGTCCATAAATGCTAACGCTAGCATTTTTTGTTTGTTTTTAGTATTATGTGCCAAGAACCTTGCAAAGAAAGACTTCTTCAGTAAGTAAATACCCATCTTTGCTCATACGATATTAATATTCTTCACATATTTCTGAACTTTTAAACTTCTTAAAAAACACTGGGTCTATTCTCCTAAAAGTCCTGCCCTTTATTAAATAGAAACCCATGGTTGAACAAACTTCGTTTTCCACTTGACTACAACATAGAGGCTCCATAGCTCCAAGGCACAGAATTTGTAACTCATGCAAGAAAAACTCTCTCTCATTCTCTATTCCAGCCACACCCTGTTCTTCTCTGTCTTTCCACCCATTAATATATTGCTTTCTGCTGGAAGTTCTCATCTCAAATACAGATGAGATGTTTTTCTATAAAATGACTGGGTTTAAGTAAAATTGTTAGTCAAATTTTATAAATTAAATCACATCTTAAAAGCCTTGTAATTAAAGGCATTGTAAAAAAAAAAAAAAATAGAGGCTTCTTTCTAAAGGAAGGAATCACCCCTTAACTCAAGAAATTCACCTACTATAAAGTAA